ACATACATTCAAAATATAAAATAAAAATATATATTTTATGTCGGTTAAAAGCAGCTTTTAAAGATTTTTGTGATATGCTCTCATCTTCTGCCCATTGTTCAGCTCTCGTGCCATTAATCTTGGCCGTTTGTGAATACGTTCTTATATTTGTTCGTGAAGTGAAAGGGGAATATTGGTTTGTCCGCTGGCTTGTATAAATATTTCGCTATTAAAACAAGAGATTTAAATTTAAAATATCTCGTGCTCTTCATGAGGTGTTATTTATATTTTACATATCTTCTATACAAATTTTTATTAATAATAAACCGCTTAGAGTTAATGACTCGAAATTTAATTATATGTTAGTGCGATAAATTGACGAATTCTTTATCTTTTTTATTGCTGATTCCCATCAATTTTATAATATTATACAATTATACTCATGCTTGATAGAGTCTTTATTAACATATAGATATACGGGCTGTCAGAGAGAGCTATAAGAAAAACTTTTTTGTATAAATTCTTAAGTTCTTCTAAGATGCCAAAGCAAATTTAATTAATATATAATGTGTTACTATATCTATTTAAAGGATCAAAAGTGAGGGTATTTCCCAGTTGACCACCGCTAGGAGGAGTACTCCAAAAATAAACCTTTATATTTATTTACTTCTTCTAAGCTGTATTATATAAGAGGCTGTCATCTCTAAGCCACAGCTTAACAGCTACAGCTGGGATAAGGATAACAAAGTGAACGAGTATCATTCAGCTGGTAGATACTGGCTTTTTTTATCACTTGTATTCCCATAAGATTGCAGAACTTGGCTTCGTTCGCAAGTTGTTGCGGCCCAATTTAACCTTTGGTGGAAATTAATTGTCGCATTGGCGGTGCAACAGTGTTGCCAGCCATTCATCAGATGCCGTTACCCAACACCTATTCCAGTGTGTCTACCACCTGCCTGTTGCTCAACAGCTTGACATCCTTTTTAATTGCTGTCAATGCGTGCCCAGGTGTAATTAAACACGTGGGCCGCGACCCGTTACCTGCTGCTGATTTTTGCTTTGTGTTAGCCCTTTACCAACATGTGCTGATTGAAATCTGTCAAAACATTTGACAGGCATTTTACAGCACTAGTCGAGCAAAGAGTGTGTAGTAATGTCTGTTCATGTCGTAAAGGCAACAAGTAGTTATCGATAATTGAGTTGTAAATGGTTACGAAAATAGTATATGGTTGACCTAAATATAGAAGTAGTGAACCATCAATCAATCATAAGCTTACGAATGAAATCCGGGATCTTTTTCTTTTAAGCAATACGTAGCTAGTAAGTCTTATCAAACATAATGCAGTCAGAATTTCACTCCACTCACGCTTAAGCCTTTGAGCTCTTACTAGGGCATTGCAAATCATCTCATTTAGCCACTCGAGTTGCCTAATTAATACCAGCTCGGACTAAGTTTTTGGCCATTTTATTGAGCTACTGCCCTTTGACCTGCTCCAACAAAAGTAGACTCAACTGCTGGCAAAGTCGAACCGTTTTCATTAGCTCAAGTTGATCGACTATAACGACGTCACTTGTGTTGGCTGAGATAAACTCATTAACATGTTGATTAAAATCACGACAGAGTTCAAACGCTGCGTCAATCTTTTGTTTGATTTGCGTAATAAGTCAATGTTGGGGGAGCAGCCGAGGAGGGGGAAAGCAGCTGGAGTGCGGGAGCGACAATTTCTAATTGCGCTGCGTCAGTTTTGACAGGCGCTTAAACGGTAAACGTCACTTGGCTCAATTATGCGTGTTAACAGAACAGACTGCTCAGCTCAGCTACCCACCCCCACCCCGCTGCAAGTGTCAAGCGACCTGAGGGCCATCTTCGCAGCTGCTGTCGATAAAGTGAAGCAATTATTAATTTATGGCAAGCTCTCAAGTGTGCCAACAAAGCATTTAATATACTTACGAACGAAGATGGCTTAGTTGGCACAATGCGAAACTTTATATATAAATGTATGTATATTAAATAATTATTACACTATTGGTAATCTTAAATTTCAGCTTTGACCATCGCTGATATATGTATGTATCTAATTACATATAGATATGTATGCATATACATACATACATATATAGAGCATGGTTAAGCAAAACGTAATATTGTAATTTGGTCTTAATCATCCTTTTATATTGAAATAATTCTGCCTGTTTCGATATGAGGATAACACAGTTTGACTTATCTTATATTATAAGTATATATATAAGGAATTTAAAGATAATTTATTTTAATAAAAATAAAAAAAATACATTAGTTGCATTGTTTTTTAAATGCCAATTAAATTTTAAATATTAAGAATTATAAGTGTCCTATGAAAAGCGCCCAGTGCAGCCCGAAGAGGGTTCAGAAAATAAATTCAAATTGAGGCGTTCAGCACAAGAGCCTGTTCACGGCTTGAAGTTCAATTTTATACTGTTTTATTTCATCAATGCACACACTAAGCGCCGTTAGCGCCGAGGGAGTGCGATCACAGGCCGATCAAGCAAAGCGAGAGCAAGCATAGAGCGGGCCAGCATAAGAAGAGCAGGCAAAGGGAGTGCGATTATAGGGAGAGCAAGCAAAGGGAGAACAAGCATAGGGAATACGATCATAGGGAGAGCGACACTTCCGCTCTCACAGCTTCAACTCTAACTGCTGCTCTCTACAGAGTTAATCGCTGATAAAGTATACTAGTTTAAAAAGTTAATGAAATGCATTCAATAAATTATTAATAACAATTCTATTTTTGTAATTTAACATGTACAATATAATATTTGTTTATGCACATACATATTTAAAGTAATAACAATCTACTGATTGTTGATTTATTATTACTGCTTAACTTCTCATTCTATCAGAAGTCGTTTATCCATTTTAGGGATTTTTTCTGCCATAACGAATTGCTCCGGATTGAAAGTTTTTGCTGATTAAATTTCATTTACATCGTAATTCGAGTGTCTAACCGCAAAAGAAGCGCCAAAAATGAAACGAATTTACGCTCAAGTTGGGCTAAAATGGGCCAGCAAAATCCCACAAAACTTTTTGCCACAAGCTAAGCAAAATATTTAACTAAGAAAACGAAACAAAAAGCAAAAGAAGAAACTTTTCTCTTCGGACAGCAATAATTAAAGTGAAGAACTTTCACGTATAGCGCTTAACTTTTGGCATTTACTGTGACTGAAATATAAATGGGTTGATCATTTTGTTATTTAGACGGACAGGTAAATCTTATCTGAGCTATGCGAAAATGCGTGAATATTTTGTATTTGCATTATGGTTTTTTAAGCAGTCTATATATGAATGTGTGCGTGTTGGCGCGTGTTTATGCCTGTGTGCGTAACGTATGACAGCATGCAAGCGTTGCCAGATGGCTGAATAACATGGACAGCTAGCTGAACTGATGCAGCGGAAAGACTGACGAATTTACATGCAAACATTGTACATACATACAAATATCATAGGGAGCGTARATGAGACTGAATGCGCTCGTGAGTGTGTGTTGAATTGTTATTTTTTTGCCACCCATTTTGGCGTTGATTTGTAGTTGGAGGCGATTAATAGTGCATGTGTACACACACACTCATACGCCTACTATTCCAAAGCATTTGTCAACTGCTTTTGGGTCTCTGCGGCAAGTCCAAATTTGATTTATGAGCGCATTGTGATATATGCAGAAATAAGTGAAAGAAATCAATAGGTGTGTGGTGGGGGTATGGGGATTGGATAGCACAGCAGGGAACGGCCCATTTAGTTTTTGCCTAATTGCATTACTAGAATAATTTCGTGTAGAGCATGGGCAATTTATAGCAGCGCACTTAATCTTATTAATATGGTCAGAAAACTAGGTCAGGCAAACTCTTTAATTGAAAAAGGCTTCAATACATATTCACTAGGAACCGTTTGTACTTGAATTCGCATATAAACTTTATTCAGCAGTTGTACAACTGTTGAGTGAACGTGAAATTCAACTGTAGAGGGCGCTGTTTGTGCATTGCTCAACAGTTGCAGAACAGTGGCAAAGCTGTTGTTAAAAATAAGGGATGCATAATAATCTGTTTATATATATATATCCTATAAAATTGAAGAAGGTTATTGTGTAGTAATAAAATCTTTTGTGAATATGCGTATCACATTTTATTGTTGTGTACAGTGTGACTTGTCACTAGCGAAACCGATAAATAACAGTTACTTTAATAGCACCCATCTCTAGTGACATACCATCGCTAGGAAAACAAATATGGCGGAACGTGAACGCAAAGAAAAATAAAAAAAATTAACTAAATCGCAATCGCAAGCATCATCCAAAATCGGCCAATGCAAAATTGTTGAGAATTTATAAATTAATAGTTCCGTCTGTGCGGTTTCTCATGTGTGTTGGTGTGATCGCGCGGTGCTGCAATGCAATTTGTAGAATCAACACAAATACAAATTTGTTATTACGTGACCTCGAGAACGCCGCTAAAATTGAATTACCCCGAGCATTGGCAAAAAGAGTTATTTTTCGGTAAAACGAACTCAACAGCAAATGCGATACTGCGAGTGCGTACTGCGTCACAGATGCAGTTCAACTAACTAAAAACTGTAAAGTGAAATAACAAATAAAAACAAATAAAAAAACGTAAATAAGACGAAAAAAACACCGCAAAAATGTCTGGCGGACGCGAAAGCAGCGCCAGCGCTAGCAGCGGCAGCGGTAGCGGCAGTAACGGCAACAATGCTTCCAACTCCAGTGGCACGCCGCAAACGCCGACGCAACAGCGCGCCCGCGGCCGTCCTGCAAAGCGGGCGACCTGCACTTGGTGCACCGAGGGCAAGCTGCCGCTGCAGTACGTCCTGCCCACACAGACGGGCAAGAAGGAGTTCTGCTCAGAGACGTGCATCGCCGAGTTCCGCAAGGCGTACAGCAAGGGGGCGTGCACGCAGTGCGACAACGTGATACGCGAGGGGGCGCCCAATAAGGAATTCTGCTCCATGATGTGCATGAATAAGCACCAAAAGAAGAACGGCTCAACGCGGCACAGCGGCGCCGGCGCAGCTGGCGTTGCCGGCGGTGCTGATGGCGATCGAAAGTTGCTGAGCAGTGGTGCACCGGCGCCTACAGGTCCCTTCCAGTACGAGAGCTTCCATGTGTTCGATTGGGACGCCTACCTGGAGGTCAGTTAGGATTTGTATAAGCCTTTGGAGCAACCTAACGTTTTATTCTGTTTTTATTTCAGGAAACGGGCAGCGATGCGGCACCAGCCGAGTGCTTCAAGCAGGCGCTAAATCCGCCCAACAACGACTTCAAGATTGGCATGAAGCTGGAGGCGCTAGATCCACGCAACGTCACGTCCACCTGCATTGCGACGGTGGTGGGCGTGCTCGGCTCACGACTGCGTCTGCGCCTGGATGGAAGTGATTCCCAGAACGATTTCTGGCGCTTGGTCGACTCGAACGAGATCCATGCTATCGGACACTGCGAGAAGAATGGTGGCATGCTGCAGCCGCCGCTTGGCTTTCGCATGAATGCTTCCAGCTGGCCAGGCTACCTCTGCAAGATACTCAACAATGCTATGGTCGCGCCGGAGGAAATTTTCCAGCCGGAGCCGCCGACACCCCCAGAGAATCTCTTCAAAGTGGGTCAGAAACTGGAGGCGGTGGACAAAAAGAATCCCCAACTGATTTGCTGCGCAACAGTTGACGCCATCAAGGACGATCAGATCCACGTCACCTTCGATGGATGGCGCGGCGCCTTCGACTACTGGTGCAATTATCGTTCACGTGACATATTCCCCGCTGGCTGGTGCGCACGAAGCTGCCACCCGATGCAGCCGCCGGGCCACAAGTCGCGCATGGATTCCAGCTCAGGCAAGCAGCGCTGCCCACGTCCCAAATATACAGTTGTCGCCGAATCGGACGCTATGGTAGCCGCCTCGCCAGTGACGGCGCACTTTCACACCAACTGCAAGGGAGGGCCGTTCATCAATGGCTCCAAGCTGCCGTCTATGGTGACGGGACCCACGCATCAGACGCTCGCCAAGCTGTGCCTGCAGGAGGTGTTGGCCGCTAGCACGGACACGCAGCAGCTTTCCAAGTTGCTGTTTGCACTCGATGGAGATGTGCATATTGTGACTGCAGCTGGAAAGAATTTCACTGTAACTATGGTTGCATTTGCTCCCAATTCTCGTGCTAAAATGTTATTTGGTTTCTCTAGGTTAAAATACCGTCGCCGCTGCGCATGAAGGACGACGAGAGCCTGGCGCTGTTCATAGAGACGTTGTGCACCACATGCCGGGCATGTGCGAATCTCATCTCGTTGGTGCCGGAGACCGAGGAGTGCAAGAAGTGTGCGCACAGTCGCAAGCGTCAGCTGGTGCAGACTTCTACGCCGCCATCATCGCCTGTGCTTGCCGAGAAACGAGGTCGTCAATCAAAATCCGCCACGCCCACGCCCGCGCCCACTTCGCCCGCTGAGAAGCCGATGATTATAAAACAGGAGGCAGGTGTCAAACCGCAACCACAGCAGCAGCAACAGCAGCAGCCCGCAAGCAAAACACATACAAATGCCACAAAGGAACCGCTTAGCCACAAAAACAACAACAATATTAATAATAATAATAATACCAACAACAACAATAACAATACTAGCAACAGCAACAGTGGCAAACTGGCCATCAAATCTGAGCAAAATGGTGTATCAGCGACACCCGCAACGCAGTCGCAGAACCAGAGCCAAGCACAAGCGCTGCGGAAGGTGCGTTTCCAGCATCACAACAACAATGGCAACAACCAGCAGGAGACAGGATCAACTGGCAGCAACAACACCCACAACAGCTCCACATCTTCCAACTCCAGCACCAGCAGTAGCAGCAGCGGCAGTCTAGCCGGCAGCACATCAAATGCAAAATATTTGGCACCCCTCGTCGCCGAGGTGCATCCAGAGCAGCTAAGCGCTAAGCCACCAAGCAGCTATTACAAATCTCCAACGACATTGTCGTCGAGCGCCTCCTTTCCTTCGTCGGTATCCACGCCTTTTACCGCTTCACAGTCTGCCTGCCCAGCGGCACCGGCAGCCAGTGCCGCCAAAGCGGCAACAGCGCCCGTGGCGGCAGCAGCTGCCTCGAGCAGCTATACGGGCATAGCCATTACCTCACCACTAAGCACACCCACATCGGCATCGGCTGCGTGTTCGCAGCTGCGAGCGCAGCCCATCGACTGGTCCATCGAGGAGGTCATCCAGTACATTGAGAGCAATGACAACTCGCTGGCAGTGCACGGAGATCTCTTTAGAAAACATGTGAGTAGTGGAAGTGATATACAACTATAGATCTGTACATATTTACATATAATTTTGATTTTAATTTAAAGGAAATCGATGGCAAGGCATTGTTGCTACTTAACTCGGAGATGATGATGAAATATATGGGCCTGAAGCTGGGGCCAGCCTTAAAAATATGCAATCTAGTGAATAAGGTCAACGGACGCAGGAATAATATGGCTTTGTAAATGGGATGAAAACGATAATTAAGGATATACATATATGGATACGGCTATGGATATGGAACAAGATAAGGCGCAAGGAACGGATCAAAGCCATCGCCGAAGTGTTAACAAATTAGTACCTCCTTAATATGATAAACAAGAAAAACTTCAGATAACCAGAAAACAGATACGAAATGTGCTCGGGCATCTATAGAGCTGAGGCACATTAACAATTTAATTATAAATATTTAATTTTCAACCCAACATTCTAAAGCGAATAATGTTAAACATGCGCGAAGAAAACCAAAACAAATGTCGAGAAAAAAAAAAAAAAAAAAAAGAAAACTTCAAATTCCAAAAAACTCATATTCGAAATATCAGTTTTTCACACAAGAAAAACACACTAAAATCTACTTTTAAAATGCATATGAATAATATTTATTACACACACACGCACATAAGGCACGAAAAATTTATATGATTTAAAAAAGAATATTTAAAACAAAAGAAAAATCAAACCTTTGAAAATATTGTACATAATTTTACATATAATTTTGTAATTATGTATGTATCGATTGAGTTTCTTTAAAATCTAACTATTACAATGTTTGCTTAATTTTAGCAATTTATTTTTAAGACAAATCAAGAAATAAACAAACTAAACATTTGTTTAATTTTATTTGTAGATACTTAAGGTAAATAGAACACTTAAAATCCGAAATCAAACAAGAAATCCCGAACTAAACTGTAAACTATATTAACTGGAAAGCCGACAGTAGCTATATAAAACTCCGAACAGATATACATATATATATGTATCAACATTGTATGCAATATTTCTCATTACGTTTATTTACACACGCCAACACCAACTCTCACACAATTACACATAAGATATACTTATACCATATATATTGCAAACTGTATACATTATTATTAAACTTGGTAAACAGAACAACTGATTTCGTCACTGCTGCTTGAGATCAATGAGAGTATTATTATAACATCCAAACTTCTAGCACTCTAAATGAAAGAGAAGAATGTTTGCGACTCTCCTCTCTTTCGAATAACTTTTGCAGTCATTCAATTCCATAGATACACATACAATACATATTTCACATACATACGAATCATTATATGACTATATGATATAGTATATATATAACACATTAATTTCGGATGGACACAGGTAAATTTCGAATACAAAAACTCATTTTGCATATAATCATAAAATTAGTCGAAATTTTCATGTATTAAGTATAATCATAATACTATTCCGTATTACCCTTTGGCTAAACATTAGAATCAAATATATAGAAAATTAACAGAATACAAGTTATACCAAATAAAAAAATAAAAAAAAACAAAAAGTAAAACAAATAAAAATACAAGACTAATACGAATGAAACGAAAACTGATTGGAACACAATTATATATTGAAAACAATATATGGGAAGAATACATTTATCTCTTACACTCATTCACGCATTCACTCACACCCACACGCTAGTTCAAATACACATACACACATACACCCACACTCACTCACACATATTATCGTATAAACATTATGTTTTGCCATTAACATTTAATTAGATACTAAGTGAATAGTTATTTAATTCACTTCATGTTATGTATGTATAGAGAGCGACAACATTGTATCAGACAATTGAAATCTGAATAAAGCAAGTATATAAACGAGTACATAAGCATGTTCGAATCTCGACTGCATTATATTTTTGATTTTTCCTGATTTTTCCTTCAGACCTGTTTGCTTTCCTGTCTCTCAAAAATGAAAAATTTCGATTATAAAATAAAGAAAATGAATAAATATTACAGAAAACTGAGAGCTAAAACAGGGCGGCGTAAATGGCGCCCTAAGCTACTCTCCCCGTTACTCCCGTTTGGTAAAAAATTCATAAATCTGATTAATACGTCTAAATTACGATCCACATTGGTGTCAAAGAGAAAAAGGGCCAAGAAACTAAATAAGAAGGGTAAATCACCCTCCCGCTTACCTTCAATTAGGAAAAGAGCTCCCAGATTTATTAGGGTCGCTAAATTATCAACCCCACTACACTCAACTGGTGATGATTTATGGATCAGGTTTAGTGAGTCGGAGATTCATCCAACCGTGGGATCTCTTTATGCTAAAATTCCGAAAGACGAGCCAACTGCTTATCCCAATTTAAAGACCTTTGCTCTATCTAACCGCCGGGATCCATCACCGCATCAGTGCCCAAGCAGCTGCAACAAGTTAACAATTCCGGATATTCCAAAGGTTTGTCTTTTTGATCGTATCTACGAGCAACCGCAGTCGTCACAGAATAAGCAGCAAAGCTCTTGGCAAATCTGCCGTGCTTCTGACACTTCGGAGATATTACCTCATGAATATAACTTACGCCGCCGATGCAGAGCCTCGCATCATTGGGGTCGTAATATTATCGAAAGCGAACGGGTGTGTAAGGACCATGCTACATGTCTCATCATGTAATTTGTTAACAAATTATTTGACTGTTAATAATTAATAAATATTAATTTAGGACAATGCTCTATTATCAAATAAAAGCTGGGTTAAAGAAATTGTATAAATATCTGAATGGGAAATTTGTTCTTACCATAAGATAAACTCTATATTTATAAACCCTTATTTATATTATATGCCTCCTTGCATATGCGTCTCCTATAACATCTAAGAGCAGTATATCACTCAGTTTGCTTAGCTAAATTTTTGTGGTCAGAGTTTAAAAAGACTAAAAAAAAAGAAACAATAAATAAATAGAGTTTATTTGAAGTAAAAAGTTGACAGAACTAATCTGAAAATGCAGGAAGCTGCATGCCAACTGTCAAGACTGGGTTCAACTCTGAAAATGAACGGAATGTGTACAAACAGCTTCGATGATGTCAATGGCCCGATGCCCTGTGAAAGACGCATAACAAAAGGTATCAAAAGCTTGCCCATCTACCTCCCATGTCCACCCCTGGGCGACCTTTGGCCCCCGCTGCATTTACAATTTGTGGTCAGCCGTCGTCGCTGCGGGCGAAGTTTATTTCGCTTTTATTGGATTTAAGCGATCATCGTTCAATTTATAGACAAATCAAATAACATTTTTTACTGCAGGTCGCGTTTTATGTACTTCGACGTTTGATAAAAATAAAACGAAAAATCGAGAATAAATTGGATTTGCTGTTGGCATGCAAATCGTTTGGCGCCAGGCTACAGCCTGGATTAGGTTGAAGCCTTTAATCACCTGACTAACCGATGCCCAATGCCAACTTTTGTTGGCCGGGTTAATGAAGCGCCTTGCATTGGCGGAAATCAAAAATCCACAGTGAACAATGCCAGGCGGAGTCTAGACGTGGGCGTGGAGTCTTTCGCTCTGGAGCTCATGAGCACGGTCGGGAGTTGAACAACAATCCTTTTGTGCTGGAGTCCTCGACTGTCAGCTGTATCAATATTGTTACAGTTCATTTTGTTTGGCCTCGACAAATAAAGCATTTTATGCAACCAGTTACCCGGCATTTCCCGGCTCGCCGTCCACTCGTCTCAGCCGAACTATGCTATTTGCCTTGGCCATTGGCCAGTTTTGAGCTCTAGGTGGGCGTGTTTGTGGGCATGGTCCATTGAATAGGCATTGAGCTGAGCAGAGTCGAGACTTCAGCCGCCTGCTGCGGGCCAACTTTGCATGCCACATGCCRCATGCCACATGCGCTACACAATCATCGCCCCCTTTCAGCCAGAGTTCAAATTCCATTGCTGAACTTTAAGAGTTTCAGTTTGACTGATAATTTATAGACAGGAGCATTGAGCTCCATTCGTTTTATTATATACAGAGGATTGATTGTGTGTGTGCAATGAACCTATTGTTATTTAACTGAAGCTTAGACTAAGCTCTTGATGGGTTTATATTTGATATCACTGTGTTTGCTCAATTGAAAATTGTTAAGGCGCAAGAGAAATACAAATTCAAAACGCTCAATTGTTTTCCAATTAAAGCAATTAGAGAATGAGGAGCTTATGAAATGATACTGTTGAGGCACAGCAAAAGAAAATTGTACTAAAGAGAAAAATTGATTGAAAAATTAAGCCGGGCTCAAGTCATCCAATTGGAATATCTTTTAAAGAGCTAAACATATCAGAGAATGCAGTGAAAATCCCCATAAGAAAATCGCTTTTAATGTGTGTTGGGCCATAAATTCTGTTGTTAAGCTAACAGACGTTGGAATTAAATGATTTAAATTGCGCTTCTGGCCGAGAAGGAAATTTGAGAGAAAAAAAACCGGGTCCAAGTGGAAATCGGACAAATGCGAATGAAATTTGTGCGCGTGAAGCCGTGTGAAAGTTGTTGCCGCTGCCGGCTCGCTCATAAATAAATAAAATTCTACTTAAACAAATGTGTGTGCTTGTGTGTGTGTGTGTGTGTGTGTTAGCCTGGCTGTGTGTGGCACACAATTTTGCGAGAAATGCTCTTTTTTATTTCTGGCACTTTTTAATAAAACTTTGAAATGAATTACTCAAGTCGACGCTTGGCTTCATCTTGCTCTTGCTCCCAAAATGGACCGAAATAGTTTGAATGAGTTTTTTCTTCGGGCTAGATTATGTTTTATAATATAGTTATTATAATATTATAGATACACGGAATGCTCGCTGGCTATGAATACTGAGACCCCATCAGGGAATACTAAATAGAGAAAGCTATACAAAACTTGAAAATGGAAAGTAAAATTATCTAAATAAAAATATTCTTCTCTTTGCCTAATCAGATTTATAGGCAACTGAAAATGGCAGACCAAATGGCAGAGTATTGCCGCTTCGTTGTGGCAAGCCATTTCCATTTCTTATATAATTCTTGTTCCTGTTTGTTAGCCAGCCAAAGTTGGTAAGATTTACGTTTGCCATTTGCAGTAGGAAACTAAAGAAAAAATAAGCGACTAAGGCAGATGGAGGGCGAGGGGACCATCAAGTGCAACACGTTGCGCGTAAAGTCAGAGGAACAAATGGGTCTGAGGGCAGGGAAGAACATGGAATTATGCCAGCTATTGTCAAGCTATTAATTTATGAAACTAATGCGGTTGGCTCCGCTCACAGGACATTACACAAGTGCGTCAAGCAGAGCACAAAGGAATAAAGGCGCAAAGCTCAAAAGCAGAAATATGGCACAGCAACTGAGAAAAAATCATATGAGGTAAAGAGTTGTTTAAGCTAAATCATAATTTGAATTAAAATTAAATTTGCTTTGAGCTATTCTAGTTGACATGTTGTGTGCCAACCGAGTCAAGTTATTTCTCTACTGAAACTAATTGCAAAATATTCTCTTTGAAATGCAATCTGGATATGCGCGCGA